TATAATGTGGGGGGGGTGCCGGGGAGAGCTGTATAACACAGAGAAGACAAGTAGTGATTCTACAGCATCCTACTATGCTGATAGACAGTGACTAATGGGGTTTGAGGGGGGGTCATGGTGAACGGGGGAGTCTAGTAAACATAATGTTCTTCATGTAATTGTAGATTAATGATACCAAAATTAAAAAATTAAATTAAATTAAAAACAACCTCTATGCTTAACAGCAGCCTAAAGGATTATGGCACATTTTAGACTAGTTTTCCACTATTGAGTAAAAATGTATTGCTCTGTGGCTAGAATTCATTCTACCCTGACAAAATTCACTTTATTGCTTTTATTCACTCTTACCTAGTGCTTGAGAATTATAAGTTATTAACCCACCTGTGGGTAAAATTGTAGTATTTCCAGAATATCTCACCTGGCTTCAGTGCATCTGCATATCAACAGGAGTTCCTCAGGAGTGGAGAAAGGTTCATCCCCATATCAATGGGTAATTACCTGGGCCACTGAGGGCTCATCTGAACCTGAGAGTTAGGGTGAGGGCTTGCTTGTCTCTGCTCTAGCAGGAAAGAGCTGGTCCCTGACTGCAGTTTTTAAGCAATAAACGGGTTTTAAACTTTACTTCTCCCTTTGACTGATTTCTGTTTTAGAGGTATCTTGCCCCGGGGTTTCATCTCCCCAGAGTTACACCAACTAACCTGAATATCATCTCCAATGGCCATATGGTGTTTTCCAGCATGATCCATTAGATTTTCATTTCCCTAAACCTAGTTTTTGTTTTTTGGTTTTTTTTTTTGGCTTTCACTGAGAAAAGGAAATTGATCTTTCCTGAAAGGCAGAACTGCTGTGAACATGACAGGAATGGGGGCTGTTGGATGTTTCTTACCAGCTCCCAAGGATTCTGAGGTTTGAAGGAAATGCAGAAAACATCAGAAATATAGTCAGGGTTCCCAGCCGAGAGGGCAGGTGTGGTCACGTTGGAGCATGTTCTGGCAGCAGCAGTGGTCTGCACACGTATGTAACTTGGTTAGGAGCTCTGCACACCCCTGCCTGGTCTTTGGCACCTGACAGCTTGTGGCTTTTCCCCTGAGGGGATGGGCCGTGTCCTCAGTTTGCTGTGTCCTCACCATGAACCTGGGGGAGTTCCCTCCCTTAACTTTCACCTCTTGAGCATGGACACTTGGTCACCTGACCTGCTAACCACCTGGCAGAAAGGGATGGCTGGACGGATGTCACTCAGTCCTGGGCCTACTACTGAGCATGGCTGATCCATCCCCGACTCATCACCTGGGAACTACAACTCCTATGAGTTTAAGCAGCGAAAAGCAGACTGAACCCGAAGAGGACTGGAGGTAGGGAACACACGTGTAAAATGGACTTGGGCCAAGAATCTGCAGACAGATAAATTTGATGGGAAGCTGGGTCCCTTTTGGGAGGTTACAGGACACCCTGGCCCCCTTGCTGTCAATGCAATGATGAGATAGGCTTGTATGATAACTGAAATAGTGGAACCTTGAAAGGCTGTGCCTTGCGGGGCTTTGGGCGGGCGAGGTTCCCTGGAGGATGTGGGCTTTAATCTTGCAGGGGCTCCAGGAGCTGCGGAGCGCTGCCTGGGAAGATGGAGGAGGTGCCTTCCTACCATCTCAAGGTGTGCAGTTTTGAGCGACCTGCAGGCTTCTTGCAGGTAAAGCGGAAGAGGAATGAGAAGTGAGTAGGTAGTGTACAGCAAAACTGGCCATGAGGAGGGAGAGGGCATGAGCACAGGACCAGTCTTTGGGGGCAAGACTCACCCACAGAATTAGGCTCCTTTGTAACTGCGTGAAGAAGCCAACAGGCTTTACGGGATCATCATTAGATTCTAGGGCTGATGTGCAGCAAGTGATCGTAGAGAGCCAAGGCCTAGTTTGAATTTTCAAATTCTAGTGTTAGAATCACAAGAGAAGCTTGTTTGGAATGCAGATTCCCAAGTGCAGCCATGAAAGATCCTGAGTAAGCTGGGAAGTGGCCTGGGGGTCTGCTTTGGCTTTGTTGTCAGATCACAGCTCCTGTGGCTTGGGACCCATGACTTTTGGGCTGTCCTAGTTACTTTGTAAAATCTAAATGCAGTCTCTTCAAAAGTTAGCATCCAGTCAGAGAGACCTGACTGATAAAAATACAAACCAAACAGAATATTCCTCCGCCACCTCATTTTTTGTTTTGGAGGTCATTCTGTTACACCCCTGAGCCCACTCTCATCTCTGGAATTCTTTGGCCCATTTACTGAACAGTAACGTAGCCCATTTGGCGTCTGCTTTCTCCAGCAATGTGCAGTTACCCAGAGCAAATGTGTGCCGGTGCCTCCCTGAGAGAGGGAGGAAGGGGCTGACCCCAGGGCAGCTGACCTGAAGTCATCCTCTCTTCTCAAAATTTCTTTTGAGATTTGGAGATTAAGCACCTTTCTTCCAGAGGAAGCAATTGCTGGAGCCCCAAAGATCCACAAGATTCATTAAGGTTATGCAGTGGCACTGAAGTTTTTCCACCAAGAACCATCCTAAAACTACATTTCAAGTCACAACCTAAGGGCACACACACACACCACATATGCCCATGTATAGGTACATGTGTATAGTGCATGTTTACGTGGGAATGTATGGAAAACAGAAATGATTTCCAGAACACTGTATGCCTTCACCCTGTGAGAGGCACTCTGATACTGTCTGTGCCCCTCTCTTGCCTCTCCCTTCCCCTCTTCCCTCTCTGCCCACCCCTTCCCTATGGACACCACACAGGACCCTGCTGTTTGAAAACTGCTGGGGCCAATGTACCTATTCCACCAATTCAAGTAGGAAAGTCCGGGAGAGGAGTTGGGAATGGAAGCTTGTTCTGTAAGTTTTTCTTTCTTCCTCAGGCAGTAACTCCCTTCATTTACCAGTTGTCTACCTTGGCCAAGACAGTGTCCACATCCGTAGAGACGACTCAACTGTTTGAGAAGTTGACATTTCAAAAGGAGGGACGCGCTGCTAAACAAGCGCTCCGCTCCTTCCCCAACGGCCTCTCACTGTCTTGCTGCAGCGCACTCACTTCTGCCCAGGTGTATCTCCTAACCTGGGGCTCTACTTCCCCATCAGACTGCTTTTCACTTACTGCTCTTTCCTCCAGGGCTTGCAGACGTCTGTGCTTATTCCCCCGGACCGGGAAGGCTGCCTAAGGTGCAGGGAGCCTCCACTCTCCGGTGTCCTGCTCAGGCATATGCAGTCCACTCTAAGGGAAGTCCAGCCGGTGCTGTTATTTTACAGCTAAAGCTCTTATTTCCATCACTTGTAAGTGACCCAAGGATCCCACAATTAACTTCTTTTAAATCCAGCTAACCAGCTTCATTTTCTTTGCAGCTGTTTATTATGTGCAGTAAAAACATTCACAATTCCGCCTGCTGTTTGGTCTTGAAAAATACAGCTAAAGAAGCCAACTTTTGAGTTATCTTCATCACAAAGGGAGAAAGTTCACCCTTGCCCCACCTGTGTTATGACACCTTTTTGGCTTCATGAGGAATAAAAAAAACCCAATTCAACCCAGATTTCAAGTGCTCCCCAGCATCCTTCCCACGTATCTATCTTATTAAAAATGTCTTCACTGGCTTCTTTTTTTTTTAACCATTAAGTACTTTGCAGATTAACTCTCTTCCAAGACAACTTCATTATAAATATTATTTTTACAGTAAAATTACCAACCTCAAAGTTTCTATCCAGTTCTAAAGTAAGGAATTGGTTTTATCTCAGTTCTTTTAAGTACATTGTGATCCACTGAATGCCTGAAGGCAAGGAATCTATCAAAGATGATTCAAATCACATACAACGGACATAGGCACTACTCTGAAAAAGCTCTCATATTGGGGCACTGTGAGCATCAAAAAAAGTGATAAAGGCAAAGGATTGACGATTATCAGATATATTAAAAAATCCACGAATTCCTAAAGATATTACAAAAAAAAAATCCATTGACCACTTCTGGAGTTTACCAGGATACCAATTCATTATTCTGAACATTAATAAAGGAAAATAACTTGATGACATTTCTTAATATATATTTGCAGCCTCTGTGTGACCAAAGTGGATTTAGCTGTATTTGTACCGTAAGGCTTCAATATACTTTCCTATGATATGAGCTTTTTGCCACTCATGTGGTTATGAAATGAACCTTGCCTAATCTTGCTTCTCTATAATTTCATATAAATGAAATTGTTCAGTACGGTTTTGGTGTTTGAGTTTTTTACACAGCATTTTGTTTTTGACCTTCATCCATGCAGGGCTGTTTTGCTCCTCTGTATCACTAGTATCCTATCGTACCACGATTTGCTTACCCATTCACTGCTGAAATGATCATACTGTTTTCTTCCTTTATTCCGGTAATATGGTGAATTACGTTGATAGAGTACCAGACGTTAAACCAATGTCAGTAACCGTGAACGTCTTATCCTTTTAAATGTTGTTGAGTTTGATTTACTAAAATTTTGTTCAAGATTTTTGTGTTTATGGAGATAGATCTGTAGCTCTCCTGTTTGAAGTCTCTCACTAGGTTTTGGTATGAGGGAACTATTGATCTCATAAAATAAATTAGGAAGTATTTTTGCAATTCCCATTTAATGCCCTGCAGAACTTTGAGAAACTTTATGCATATTTAAATTATATATAAATATGTTTCAAGTATAAAATAATGTTCATCCTTTTTCTGATTTCCGTAACAAACATACCTTATTCATTTCAAGCTTAGTTTGAGGTTGGCTGAATTAGTGAATGACTTGTAATCACAGTTTTTAGAAAATTATTGCTAAGCAAATTTAGAGATTACTGTCACTAGGTACCGGTTAACTAGAAGGTGAAGCCGAGACACCCTAGAGATCGCCGGACTCTTCCAGAACAAGGAACTCTCTCCCCCACAGGCCGTCAGCATGTCGCTGACTCACCTGACAGGCCTTTACGGGGAGGCAGCAGGGTCTGCTGCGGACGTCTCCGCCTCACGCACCTATGCACGTGCACGTGCACGACGCCTGCGTAACCGCGTACACTCAGGGCCCGCCTCCCGGGGTGCGCCCACCCCGCCCTCACTGGCCTCCCGCGGCTGCAGCGGCGGGACCCCGCCCCCCGGGGGGCGGGCTCAGGGGCTGGGCATGCGCGGTCCCCACGGCGCTCCCGGAAGTGCCGGCCGCACGCCCCTCGGAGGAGGGCGGGCCCTCGGGGTCAGGCTGCGGCCGTAGCCAACGGGGCCTCCGCCGGCAGCCGCGGCTACACCACGGGGCGGCGGGGAGGCGCGGCGGAGGCGGCGGAGGCCGCGGGCTGTCCGGGAGCGGCGGCGGCATGCCGAATCGGGAGGTAGGTGCTGCTGAGCGAGTGCGGCGGCCCTCGCGTTTCCTCAGGCGCCAGGGCCGCTGCCCCCGGTGGGACCCCGACGGGACCGCCGCCTGTCCCACGGCGGACGCGCGGAGGCGGCGGCGCTCTTCTCCCCGGCAGGGCCTGCGGGCTGTGGTCCGCGGGGGAGCGCGGTGGGAGAGGCGGGCTCTTCTGGGGCCTCCCCCCACCCGGGGCTGCGAGGCCCCCTCTGCCCGGGACGCGCGCTTCCCCGAGTCCGGCCGCCAGCGCTGCTGCCCGGAGCGCTGCCCGCGCGTCGGGGTCCGGCCCAGCCGGGAAAGGCCGGCGCCCGGCCCGCTGGGGCGGCGGCCCCGACCAGCTGCCTCCAGCCCGTAGTTGGCCCACGGAGGTGCCTGGGCGTCCGTACTGCGGGCTCCCCCGCTTGCTGGCGGTGGCCGGAGCAGCCCGGGAATGCACGCCCCCGGCCGGCTGCCCGGCGGGGCGCACGACGTGAGCGTGACTGCAGGACAGCTGCTCCCCAGCCCTGCCTGCTGGGCGAGGACGGGCGGCCGGCGCTCGGCAGTGTGTCCGGGGATGTGACAGGACGGAAACTCCGCAGGCTCGTAGAGAAAGGGGTTTCAGACTGAGTCGGTGCCGCCTCTCCCAGGAGTTTACAAATTTAGATGGACAGTCGGTTAGATGTGCCCAAACCCTTCATCACAGCGGCCCTGATGTGCTGGGACTCTTGTGTTGTTGAAGCCGGAGTTGGTGAATCCACTTACCCTTACTTTCCTCACTGTTCACCCCTCTTAAGGGAGCAGAAAGGGAAAAAAGAGCAGGAGAGGACGCGCGGCTTTTGGTTGGAAGGCGGGGAGCCCCTGAAGACGCCAGCCGTGCGCACGGGGACCGAGGGCAGACGTGTGTACAGGCACCTGGTGTCGTGCCTCGGGACAGCACTGTGTTGCGGAGATGGGAGGTCTCTCCTCTAGGAAGGCTTTCTGTGCATACCTGGAGCCCGGAGACCTGGTCGGTACCTGGAAGGAGCGTCACGAACTAACAGTGGCTAGCACGGCTGTCCCATCCCTGCCAAGCCGCAGAGCTGCCTGGAGTCCCGGAGGTCCCCACTGTCGTTAGGTAGAGCCTGCTTAGGTGGAAGAAGAGGGCTGGAGACGTCTGGGCACAGCTTTCCGAGGCCTGTGAAGTTGGGGTAGCTGCCAAGGCATTTGCACACTCCGCAGTGTTTCTCTGACTAAAGGGCCACCTGTCCTACATTATGCAAGCTTTAAGTGCTCCCACAACACCTTTTTGCTTGCTGTCTTGGCCCCTTTTTTTTACCTTTTTCTGAAAGTGACCATTGTTGTTTAGTGAGCACCCATTTGAGCTGCTCTGCAGAGGAAGAAGTGACTCCACTCAAATCAGTGAGGGCATCTGGACCCTGGCACTGCTTTAATGCACAGCTCGCTCCCCTGGAGCTATACTGAGGTCGTGAGGCCCCTGTGTGCTGGGACCTCTGTGTTCAGGACAGAGAACTGAGTGACACTAAGCTTGTACATATGTTCCAGAATATGCGGTATATATTCAAAATTCATAGTGTAGTGTAGATGCTAGAACAGTGTAGTATAGGTAAGGAAAGAAGGCTAAATTTGGGCTGGTCTTGAAAGTGTAGGTAGGACTCAAATATACAAACAAAATCAGAGCCATTTTCAGGCATTTAAGTGTCTCTTCTGATTGTATCTTAACACGACCAGGGCTCAGCCATACAACTTAAAGACCGTAATATCCATGTGGATATAAAATGTTCTTAGCACATTTCTTAATCATGGCTTTGTGAGTTTTATCTCTCTGTGTGTGTGATAGTCTTAGTTACGTTGAGCCACATGGGTCTCTGTGGCTGCTGTAGAATGTCCTGTGCCCTGTGCACTCAGCAGTAGGAGGTCTGCAGTAACTTAATTCTCTTTGAGTCTGTTAAAGTGGAGTTTCCTGTATTTATTACCTGTGGGTGGTGGGTCACCACCCTTTGATGGTGCATGGGATGGCAGGGAAATACGTAACATTCATGGACTCAATGGTGCTGGAACAATTAGCAACTAAGTTCTAGACTGTTCTGGTCAGACATCCACAGAAGCCTGCGTGGTCACGCTGTCTGTCATGTGCTGAGCTGACGTTCCTACAGAGAGGCACTTGCCATGATGAGCAACAGCGGCCACATTTTCACATCCTTCCCTATTTAGTGTATCACATCAGAAATTCTCTAATGAGGCAGTTTTCCATGAATTTGCGATGTAAACACTAGTGTTTCTTTACACTTAAAGGTTTAAGGAAGAAAAGGCTGTCTGCCTCCAGCTTTGAAATTTGAAATTAGGTTTTATCTCTTTTCTTAAAATGGAAAGGCCCAGTAGTGCTGGGCTTGGCACAGATGATACTTAGTGAGCAAGACTGAATCTTTCTGGTTAATCTTTCAAAAGACTGTCATCTTAGTGTCAGAGACAGACTCTGTAAATGAAAATACAGATAAGATAAGATAAATTAAGAAAAAAACAGACTACATGAAAATGAATATAGTTGACCCTTGAACAACATGGGTTTGAACTGTGCAGGTCCACTTACTCGCAGTTTTTTTCAATAAATATATTGGAAAAACTTCTGAAGATTAGTGGCGATTTGAACATGCATTTTCTTTTCTCTAGCTCTATTGTAAGAAATCAGTATATAATACGTATAACATATAAAATGTGCACTCAGCAGCTGTTTGTTTTATTGGAAAGACTTTCATGGTCAGTAGTGGGCTATCAGTAGTTCAGTTTTTGATGAGTCAGAAGTTATGCACTGATGTTCAACTATGTGGAGGGTTCAGTACCCCTACCCCCATGTTGTTTAGGGGTCAACCATATTTCAGTATGGGGAAAAAACACTGTTAGCAAAACTTAAAAACTTAGGAACTGGGGAAAAAATATTTGTAGCATATATCACTGAAAAACGTTTCTATTTTAAAAAGGTAGAATCTCACATGTCCTAAGGGACAAGATTCGCATCCTTATAGGAAAAGAAGAGACTCAAAGAGATGAAAATGTTTAGTTTTACTAGAAGCCAAAGAAGTGAATATTATTAAAAATAATAAGATGTGGTATTTTAAAACCAGTCTGGTAAAAAAAAAAGGTTGAAAGCGTCACTGCCAAGTGCTGAGTGACACTGACACTCCAGTAACTCAAGCTGTGAGCTTGGGAATATAAATTCCTTAAAAAAACAGCTTTACCGAGGCATGATCTACTTAACAGGAAGTCTGTTCATCTATTCATAGTGTACAAATCAGTGATTTTGATAAATGTCTAGTGTGTCATCTAGACTCCCATCAACCAAAAGTTCTCGTGTTTGCAGCCAGACCCCACTGTATGCCAGTCCCAGAACCACTAAGCTGCTGTCCCCACAGATTTGCCTTTTCTGGAAATTTTACGTAAAAGGAATTAAACAATACATGGTCTTTTGTATCCGGTTTCTTTCCCTCAGCATGTTAGCATGTTTTTGTGGTCTGTGTGTGGTGTGGTGTGTGTCAGAACTGCATTCCTCTTACGCCCAGCAACAGTCCATTTTGTGGATGTACTGTTTATCCTTTCACAAGTGGATAGACTTTTGGATAACTCTAGTTTCTGGTTGTTAAAATAATGCTGCCATAAATGCTTGTATATAAGTCTTTGCATGAATATGCATTCATTTCTCTTGGGAAGTTTCCTGCAGACAGAACTGGTGGGTGTTATGAAGGTCTGTCATTTACATTTTGAGGAACTTTCACACTGTTTTCCAAAGTGTATTGTCAGTGGTTGAGGGTTCCACTTTCTTTACATCCTCACTCATACCTGCTATTGTTGGTGTTTTTGCTTATAGCTGTTCTAATGAATTTCATTTACATTTTCATAGTAACTAGTGATGATCATATTTTCATGTGCTTACTATCATAGTGTGTATACTTTTCTTTGTTATCATTAATCTACAATTACATGAAGAACATTATGTTTACTAGACTCCCCCCTTCACCAAGC